GGAGGGGCTGGGTGGGAGAGGAGGGTGGGGGACAGGGGGTGCTCACAGAGCTCCCACGGGGTTCAACTTTCTCTGTGAAGAGGAGGTCAGGTCTACTTGTCAGCGGTGCAGAGCAGGGCAGGTGGGAGGGTCTGAAGAGGTTCGAGTCAGCCTGTGTCAAGGATGGAGGGGAGCTGACCAGGCCCTGGAGAGGGGTCCCTTGGGAACACAGGGCCAACAGCGAAGAGGGAAGAAAGATGTAGAATATCGTAGGTGCTCCTCACATGCATTTTTGGCTTTGTTTGGTTAGAGGATTTGGGGGTTTGTTTTTGTTTTTAAGCCTTGATGACCCTGAGGGAGAAGCAGACTGTGTAGGATGAGGGGACCCCCACCCTAAAACCAGGCTAAAGTGAATGCAGAACCAGACCTTGCTCCTTGCTTCCCCCTGGGCTTCCTTCTTTCCTCCCCTCCCTCCAGTGTCCCTCCTCCCAGACAGCCCTGCCCGTGCCTGCCACCTGCTTGGCCAGGAGCTGGCACCCTTGGGAGTAGGTGGCCCCTTCCTCAGCCCCCAGACCAGGAGCCCAAAGGCAAGGTGCTGTCTTCCCTCCTGGGGACAGATGGGTCCAATCCGTCCCATTCAGCCAAGGTCCCTGGAGGGCAGAGGCCACGCCCTCACCACCTTCGGGTGGAAAGGGCTTCCTAACCCCCAACCAGAGCTGATACGACACAAGGGACCTCAGCTAGATCTGAGGGGCACTTCCTGATGGGGTGCAGGGGGCCTGGAGGGCCCGGGCTCCTCTGGGAAGAACAGGCTTTACTTTCTCTCGCAGGGGGGCTAAGGGGAGGGGCAGTCAGCCAGGCCTCAGAGCAAGGCTCTTTCCAAGAATCCTCAGGGGCTGGGACCAGAAGTTTCCCCTGATCCAGCGATTCTAAATATGGCCAAGGGAGCAAAAGCATGTGACCCAGGGCCCCACACCAGGGCTGCTGTGCGGCCGTGGCTCCTCTGGGCCAGGGGCTGGCGTGGGGGCTCGGGGTTAGGGATGAGGTCTCCATGGAGCTTCAGTTTCCCTGGCTGAAACATGAAGATGAGGGGCAACTCAATGAGGGATGAAGTCCCTTCAGCCTTATGACCCTCCCGCTGTGGGGTGGAGGGGAGAGGACTGTCCCTCAGCTCAGTTCCAGATTCTCTGAGGATGTCCCTGGAGGGACAGCAGCTGCCAGCACATAGTACAAACTATGAAAAAAATGCCCCTCTTGGAGGACCAACAAAAAAAAAGGCATTCTCTTTTGCCTGAAAAATTATACAAAGTTGACTCCTCTAGATGGCCCCATTAGAAACAGGCGGCCCTTCCTCTGGGCTGACCCAGCCCTGGGCACAGTCTCCATTTCAGCACCACTGGCATCCTCTCAGCCAGGCCCCTTGGCAGGTCCAGGATGCCTGAGGACCAGGGCGGCCCTGGAGCAGCCCTGACAGCCACCACAGCCTGGAAAGGCCAACTTCCCGTGGTTCCACGTGGCTCCACGCTCCTATCCTGCCGCCACGGGCTCATCTAGAACTGGACACTGACCCAAGAAAGGTGCCCCCTCAGTCGGGCTCAGCAAATGATATCGCCTTTTCGAGGACCACAGAGGAAAGCTGGCGGGGGTGCAGAGAAGTGGAGCGGAGACTGATGCTCCAGAACCAACAGCCCTCCTCCACTCCATGAAGCCCACATGCGCTCCTGCCGTGATGCCCCGAAGCCTGCCCCTTCCTTGCAGCAGGCAGCCTCGCCCCCATGCCGATTTTCCTTGGGTGTGGATGGTCTCGGTCCCACTAAGGTGTGGAAGGCAGTGCCTCCTGGAGCAGGTGTTTAATGAGTCAGAGCCTGGTCCTTGCTCACCTGGACCTGCTCCAGCCCCTCCTACTTGTTCTCACTGCGTCCCGCTGCCATGCCAGCTAGACTACCTGGTGTACCAGATAAGGGGGCTGAGCAACACATCAACAGGAGCCACGGGTGGGAACAAGGGGGAGCAGGGGCCATCCATCTGCTCAGGGCTGGTCAGACAGTGCTGACGCCTCAAATGAACAGAGCGTGGGAAACCCAAGGAGGCGGCCAGCAAAGTAAGAGTGAACTAAGGGGCGGGATAGAGGCAGCCTGGGTTTTAGAAACTTACACACGATGATAGCTAGTGGAAACCGCCCCCCAGTTCCACCTGACCAGCTTCAGATGGATTTGGGTGACTCAGTTTTACGTGCTGAGCTGGGCATAAGATTTCATTTGGACTAAGAGCTTAGCTGCCTTTTTTTTTTTTTTAAGGGTGAAATCCACTGAATTGCAGGCTCAGGCTCAAGCTCCTTAGCATGCCACATCACTCTCTACCACTCGGGGCCCAACCTGGCACTTGGGACTCTGATGTCATAGCTCTGTTCCCTTTCCCCACCTTTGCTCACACTCCCCCTCCTCCAGCCTAGCCAGTTAGGTGGGTGGGAGCCCCCACCCCAGGCTCCCTAATCTCCCATCCCCATATCCATGCTCACCTCCATCATGGCATTTACCTCAGTGCAGGAAAAGCTCTGAGTACCTGCCTCCTCCTGCAGACCGAGAGCTGGTTGAGGTCCTGCCCTTTTCACCTTGAATGCCCTGTGCCAACTCAGAATGGCGCTGGGCACCACCCCCCTCCCCAGTGGGTATCGCCCTGCTGGCCACTTCAGACTCCACATCTCAGCCTTCCCTGTGGCAGGTGGGATTATGAGGGAACCCAGGTGGGCAGCAACTCCAGGAACCACACAGCCCAGAGCCACAGAGCATTCACTCACTCACTTACTCATTCATTCATTCTGTAAGTATTGAATGAATGACTGACTGAGAGCTCACCATGGGCTAGGCACAAAGACAGACACTGTCCCTGCCTTCGTGAAACTTAACGTCTCATGGGGGAAGAGAGCTAATCCACAAATAAAGGGTGAAAATGTGAACAAAAAGGGGCTATGCAATAAACCTCACAAGCTCAGGGGGGTGGGGGCACTTAACAGGCCCAACAAGCTCAGTGACCAAAAGTAGCCACACAGGATCTTCTGATGATAAATTCCTAACGGGCAGGTCATAGCAGGTGTTCATTTCCCAGGCCTGTAGTTGCCCTAGCAAAGGTCAATCTTTACCTTAAGTCAGCGGTTCTCAACCTGTGGGTCGCGACCCTTTCACAGGGTTCACCTAAGACCATCGGAAAACACATATATAATTACATATTATTCTTGTGATTAATCACTATGCTTTAATTATGTTCAATTTGTAACAATGAAATTGGGGGTCACCACAACATGAGGAACTGTATTAAAGGGTCGCGGCTTTAGGAAGGTTGAGAACCACTGCCTTAAGTGAGCTTTGTCTGTTGTTCTTATGCATCTAGGATAACATACCTTTGAAAGGTCAGGGTAATTTTCTTTTCCTCAAAGGCACAAGAGATTTCCCCGATTGCTTTCTCCCACCTCCTTCATTTCCCAACAATGGGTTTCATGCACTTTCCTTGCGTCTTCTCCTTTGATTCTAATGTAAAAATTTAGCTGAGACCTTGCTCCCTGGCACATGTCATCAGTTTGGATCAAATAAACTAATAACATTCTCTATAGGTTTGGATGTTTCTCACATCGACAAAAATGTCAGATGATGATGGAGAACAATTAAGTGGGAAGAAGGGATGAGGAACATTGGAATGGGAGTCAAGGGAGGTCGCTGTATGGAGAGTGGTCCGGGCAAACAGGTTTGAGAAGGTGACATCTGAGCAGAGATCTGAAGGAAATGAGGGTGTGAGCCATGTGGGTATCTGGGAGAAGAGGGATCAGCAAGTATCAGAGACCTGAGCCAGAGGGTGCCTGGTGTGTTCCAGAACCACAGTGCTCCGGAGCGAGTAAGCAAGGGGCGAGTGGGAGGCTGTGAGGGCAGAGCGGCAGTGGAGGTGTGAAGCAGATCATCTACCGGCTGTTGTGAGGATTTGGGCTTTTACTCCAAGTGACATGGGGAGTTCTGTGCAGAGGGAAACATGATCTCCTTATGTTTGCAAAAGATCACACAGGCTGTTGAGTGGGGCGGGGAGGGGTTGGGGGAGGGGCAATGATATTTGTCAGGAAGCTAATAGTATAAATCAAGTAAGAGATGATGGTGACTTGTACAAGGGGGAAGTGGAGGTGGCAAGAGGTGATCAAATACTGACTATACTTCGGCACTGAAAGATCCCTTAGAGCCAATCAACCACCTTGTTTACTATATAGATGGGACACTGAGTCCCAAAGAGGAACATGACCTACCAGTGACCATACAGTAGATCAGAGACAGAGCTGGGCCTGGGCCCAGATTTCCCAATTCCT